TAACCACACATATCCATCCATCGTCCAACCACTTTCGCTGGACAGAGTCACAGGACCCTGCACCCTGTAAGAACATAAGAACTATCTCAGACAACATAGGAGACAAGGCAGAGCTACACCCAGAACTGGATGCCAGTCCATCATAGGGTACGTACACACACCATGGGCAATTTCGAGGTGCTGATTGCCTGTCTTTGGACTGCTGGGGAAAGCCCACACACAGAAGATGCAAATTCTGTGTATACACACAGCAGAGGTCAGGTTTGAGCCCTCAGCCCAGGAGACAACATGTCTACCCAGCAACCTGATCAGGCCATATATCTCCATCAAAACTTACTGCAGGATGACTTAGCAGTTATTCAGCATCATACATGCTCTTTGCTGGATAAAAAAAGAAAAAAAAAACATCTTCTGTGCATTTTGAATTAAAAATGCATTTTAAAACCGCATTGTTTTGGAAAAAATGTTTCAGCAAAGCTGGGTTACTCCATTTATGCTGTACATACATTGATAGTGTATGGTAATCCCGTAAATAAACTGGAATGAAGTGAAGATTTACCAAGCCTCGGTTCAAAGGAATCTTTTTACACAGGTCAACTGCCACATGATTTTATTGGTGGTGTTGGTCAGGTGCTTTAACAATAGATATAGGAGTATTATGTTGGTGATAATGATGATAAAATGACAATAACAGCAATAAAACTACGATGTCCATTTAATTTACAACATATAAGAACGGGAAAAAGAATCTCCAGTACAGTCATGTCAATATTCACTAACAGTTCAACTATTCATTGGTTGCTGAATGAGATGCATTCTTTGTTCTTTACTGCTGATAATTCTCTGGCCCTGTTAAAAAGAAAGAAATAATGGAATGAGAATGTGTACAATGGCTGATTAATTAGTTTCAGTACCTTTCGATTCTACTTAAATGGCTCAATATTTAATTAAGGAATGAAGAGTTGCTGAATTTGATTAGAAATGAAGAGCCAACAGATATTCCATTGAGTTTACTCTTATGTTGGGGAGTAGTTTACAAAGATATTTGCTATACTCAATGTCCAACATGAATTTTAAAAAGGAGATGCTGAATTAAATACGTAAAATTTACAATATGCATTTTTGGGCTGCATTGTGGAGTCATAGGAATGCGTTGAAGTGTCAGTTGAGGCAGATGGAATCTGCAACAAAATTGATCTATGTTAAGGCAGAAAGTTTAGAGAGTATTGTAGTGTTCCTGTCGCTATATGGCTGTAAAATGCTGCTTAAAGAAAAGCATGCTGGGAGTGTAACAGGTAATATTTAGCATAATTACATGTGTTAGACATTTTCTTGCTTTGTTTAATGTCAGTTTTCTCCCTGGCGCTTGTGGTGGAGCAGCACGTGTAAGTAGCTATTTTTTGGGGGTAAAGTTTAAGTATACTGTTGGGGAAAGCGTTGGCAGAGGAGTAGTACTCGGTGGGTTTTCAGTAAGCAAGGTGATTGAGTGTGTTTTACTACATTCTTTTGTTGTGTTAAACTATACTATACTTTCAGCGGCATTGACTTTGTAGATGCCACAGAGTATTGGGGACTGATCAGTTTATTGTCTCTGACTACAGTAAGTATAAGCATTTTATCCACTGTGAAATGGTCAGTGGGTTAAGCACTGCAAACTGGTTTTGCGGCACAAGTCACCAGTGTTTGAAAAGCAAAGACAAAGAGCAGCAATTCTGGTTTTATTATTATTATTAATCCAGTTGAGCTCTCTATTAATCACTGAGTAGATGAATGCTGCTATTCAAATTAAACTCTGATGTGCCTAAAATCCTGTTACCCACAGTCAGTTTGGCCAAGGAATATGTTTCATGGTGAAAGGCCTTGGAAGTTGGAGAGCAATTACAATAATTTATTATTTATGGTTGAGAAGGTCCATTACACACTTCTTCATACATACTGTACAATCCGTTCTGCTAGGAAAAGATGCTACTATACTTTATGTCCTAGACATGATTCATTACAATGTTTTTGAAATTTTAGTAAAATGTCATTTTTTTTATGTGAAGGATATCCATCCTCCATAACTGCTTATCCAGTATTGGGTTAAGATTATCCTGGACTCATCAAACAAAACACGAGGTACGAACTCCCAAGCTGGGATGACAGTTTAAAGCAGTCCTTGGGTCCCCAGCAGATTATGTTTTTGCTCCCTCCCAGTCTCAGCACACCTGAACCAAACAATCACGAGCAACAAAAACCTGCTACAGGTGTGTTGAGAACTGGGAGGGAGCAAAAATGTGTTCTGTCTGCAGGTCCCAGAGGGCTGGGTTGGGAAACACTCTCATAAAGGATCTGAATGATATATCCCACTACATTAAGCCCAGTACTTAATTGTTTATCATATGAATTTTGTAGAAAAAAATACCATGGGTTTCTAAGAGAGTGTATATATATAGCATCCATTCATGCTGTTGGTCAGCATTTTGCAGTGTGAGTTTGTGTACTTATGAGATATGTGTTTCTGGTTTCATGTAAAGGAGTCATGAGCTAAACTAACAAGCAAGTTAATGATTAGTTAAATGAATAAATATCATTCATTATAGACCGTCTCGCAAGACTTCATTGGGAGTCTGCGTACGGCACACTTCGCCCGCTTAATCACCGAGGTCACTTTTTTTTTTTTGTAAAATTAACATCCTCCCCGCAGCTAAGCACACCGTTTGACTGGGAATTAGCGCGCCACTTGGAATGCATAGACAGTGGGGCATTGGCCCAGCTTCAAGAAGACAAACGAGCGGATTTGCGCTTCAGCATCTTTTGGGGGCAGGAGTTTTAATTACAGCCGCTTGCGTCGGCAGCCACTAACGGCCTGCCTGTGGTCTAGGCCGCAAGATGACAGATGACAGGCCTGACTGAGACTGACAAGGACAAACAGCGGCTGGGGGGGGGTATATCCTGGCTGCTGTTGCTATCTCACACACCTGCTCGAGGTGTGTAACATAATATTCCACGTATCATGATCCTACCCATAAATCTCATGTTCTTGCATTGCTGCTTTTTTTTTTTTTGCAAGGCTGGCTGTGATTTATGGAAGGGCCCTTCACGGCAGCACTGATTTCCTATTGTAATATCAGCATGCATGGTTTTTGTTTACGACCCTTTGTTTATGTGTGGAGGTACAGCCAGAGGTATTATCTTCAATATGGGATTTTTCTCGGCAATTAATGTGTTTGAGGCTCCTGGTTTTCGCTGAGCTCACAAAATAAATAAAATGCATTACAGACTGCTGCAAAATCACAAGTAGTTCACGCCTGAATCGTCAAATCAGGCGGCGTAATGTAACTGAGATGAGAGCGAGTAGGGGAGAATTAAAAGGCCATTAAAAAAAAGTGTTTAAAAGATGTGGCCTGTAAAAATTTAGCTATTATGCTACTAATGTTGAATGTTTATTTGTGAATTAGATTGTACAATGTTCTGCTATAAGCGTGAAATAAAGTCAAATTCAGTTCAGGCAATCACAGAGTTGCTTGGATCCTGTTCGCTTTGCAGTATACATCTGTCTGCCATAACATTAACACCACCTAGTTAATATTGTGTAGGTTCCCCATGTGCCGCCAGAGCAGCTCTGACCCTCTGAGGCATGGACTCCACATGACCTCTGAAGGTGTCCTGTAGTATCTGGCACCTAGATGTCAGCAGCAGATCCTTTAAGTCCTGCAAGTTGCAAGGTGGGGCCTCCATGGATTGGACTTGTTTGTCCAGCACATCCCACAGATGCTTGATCGGATTGAGATCTGGGAAATTTGGAGGCCAAGTCAATACATTGAACTCCTAACCCTCAAACCATTCCTGAAATTTTGCACTGTGTCTGCGCACATTATCCTGCTGAAAGAGGTCACTGCTTTTGGAGAATACCGTTGCCATGAAGGGGTGTACTTGGTCTGCAGCAATGTTTAGGTATGCCTATGTGGTATGTATCACAGTAACATCCACATGAATGCCCAGACCCAAGGTTTCCCAGCAGAACATTGCCCAAGCCATTGCACTGCCTCTGCTGGCTTGCCTTCTTCCCATAGTGCATCAAGGTGCCATCTCAGGGTAATAATATTTATCTTAGGTAAGTTCTCTAAATTATGCTATTCCTAATTTGAAAACAGAGATGGCATATTTACAGTGAAATTAGGCCTTAATAATTTAATGTTCAATACTGTTAAATTTGTTATGAAAGTAAACATGCAGAATCCTCACAGTCTGATAGTAACCTGCTTACTTTTATCATACAAATTTGTCATTGGTCAGGTCAGTGCAGTGTAAAACTGCAGTGTGAGCATGTGTAGCACTGAGCCGTGTACAATAAGACAGGCAGACAACTGCGGAACCGACTCTGCTGATGTCCGCTTGCCGCAGCAGTAAATAAATATTTAAATATAAATTTAAATATAGAGAATGGTACATTACTTTGTTAATAGTACAATTTGCCAAGTCTACAGATTTGTACATTACCAGTTATGCAAATAAATATGCACAACACATAGCTTAGTAACAGCTGATGTACATGCATGGCTAGTTTTAAAATTGCTGAATTTGAATGCTTTGCAGCTCTATAGATAATAGGTTTTGTTTCTGTTATTCTTCCCCCCCCCCCTACACACAGAGAGCTACTCTTCAGATCATTTTTTTTTAATAGTTACAGGTCAGGCACGTAGCCACATAGTAAAATTTCAGGTTTGAAAATATGCTGCCAGTTACAGAAATTATAAGGTTGAACCCCCCCCCCCCTTTAATTTAGCTTCCACCCCAGAATTTATTTTAGGTTACAGACCTGCTAAGGTTAACATGCTAAACAATGTCAGCTGTATGCATAAGAAAAGAAATCAAATTAATTTTTTAAATAATTTGTATTCTACATTGTATGCAGCTAATAAAAGAGTAGCAAACAACAAGGGGACTTGTCGATAAAGATGGTGAAACCTAAAATGGGTATATTTTTTCCTTTTCGTTAACTTGCTTCTCCGTTTTAGGGCAATGGTGATCTGGATTCTTTCCCAGTTTCACAGCTACGTTCAAATGCGGAAATTCAGCTAAACGGCACGTCTGTTTGGTAAGAGTAAACAGAGAACCCAGGGGAAGCTTACACTGATGGGAAGGAAATGTAAGGCATGTGTACAATACACACACACACACACACACACACACACACACACACAGGGCCTGGTCCACACCAGCAAATGCAAAACACGGGCGATGGAGACCCACAGTAGGAATGGAAACCCACAGTAGGAAAGGGGTTTTCTACACCTTGTGATGTATGTTCAGGTCATGTGAGACACCTGTAATTGCCAGACCTTCCTGACAAGTCCCCTCTTTCAGTTCCTCTGAGAAGAACACAAACATTAAAGGAGATTCAATAAATCTGTTGTTTTTTTTTTTTTAATATTTATTACTACAACCCTCTGTCATCTCAGAAATAAAACAGTACAGCAAAAGGGTAAAAAAAAAAAAGATGTAGAGGATTTCACTGTTCTCTGTGTATAAGAAGTGTTTATGTGATCGAGGTACTAAAAGTTTGATTTTATTTATGACAAATGTTATAAATGGCATTGTTGGAAATGTGCATGGCAAAATCACTTTATCATGTTGACAGGTTTATAACTGCCATTTTTCCAAAAAGTAGCAGCGACATGGTTAGCCATTAGAGACAATTATCAGCTTTCCCACATTTCCGCAAGATTAATAGGTGGTAATTGCAGTTTTATTGACTGTGTTTCATTTAGACTTGTCGTGTGTTTATTGCTGGAGCTAATACCTCTAAATGAGATCTGAAGAAAACAGCACACAGTAAAGGACGACTACTGATTGCAAAGACAGCGCTTACAATTTTGACTGATGCCCAAGATGTGTTTTCCTGCTGCTGCCCGGGATGATGCAATGATTACATTGATTTTTTTTGTTCTCTTTTCCTGGAGAATCTTTGTTTACATTTGTACACTACACCCATTTGTACTGATGGATGTTTTCATGCCGGGAATTCAGGTTAGCTGCCAATCACAAAGGTACAATAGCTAAACCTCTTCCTGGGGTCTGAACGGCAACTTTTTTTGTTTACAGACTCTTGGCATCTGTACTACCCGAAGGTTAATATGTTGGCTTGAAAAAGCCAATATACTGTTATTCTTTTTCAGCTTATTATTATTATTATTATTATTCTCTGTCCTAGTTTTTGAAACTCTTCTCCTCCTACAGTTTTAAGACTGCAACCATCAAACTTTCCAAAGCTGTGTTGGGAGTGTGCTTTTATAGGCTCTCGCATCTTCCATCATTTTAGGAGGTCCTGCTGAACACCCCATTTCCCCCATTGATTTATACGTGAAGAATTTTTTAATTGCTGCCCTTCTCACAGCTTCTAAGCTAAACCCACCAAACTTGAGTCACACAGTCATGGGGTCACACTAAAGCAAGTGATGAAATTTGGTGGATGTCTACGATCCAGGGTCCTCTCCTGCACCCAATCAAGCTTCATCCAATCAGAAAACAGGTACAGTAAAACCCTGTTATAGCGGACTTGCATATAATGGAATATCGTCTAAAACAGACGAGGTCCGCTAGTCCAGGCCGCGCACCTTTAAGAACATGCAGAAAAAGCATCAGATATAGCGGACTCGCATATAATGGAATTTCGCTTATAACGGACAAACAATTTGGTCCGCAGAGCCGCTTTTAGCTGTAGTTTTGTTCGGCTATAACGGACATACAGGCTCCACCTACAAGGCGCGTGGCGTGCCGGTGATATCCAGCGCAGATACAGAGTCGGGATTATTAATAGTCATGCATCTGCTCAGGTAAAGTTGGATTACTACAGTACATGTACAATATAATAATCTATACCACAAGTGTGTCTGCTGGGGTGTGGCATGAGTAAATGGTGTCCTGCAGTTGTGTTCTGGGCATACAGCAACTCTGGATATAACAGACTTTGGATATAACAGACTGTTTTGCCAGGTCCCTTGAAGTCCGTTATAACTGGATTTTACTGTATATGGAAAATCTGTCAATGTCATGATTAACGGGACAAAGATGTCTTCTGCCATTCTAGACAAACTTAAACTGCTGCCATTATTGCACTTCTGATGGCACGATCCCCAAACATTGCACTGTTGGTCAGTGGGTGACTGTGATTTAAGCTTCAAGAAGTGGGCAGAGCCTGCAACAGCCAATTAGAATTCACACATTGACTTTAATGGGAAAATTTTAACTGCTGCCATCGTCACACTTCTGATGGCAGGATTCCCAAACTTTCCACAGTTAGTCAATGGGTGTCTGTGCCTAAAGGTTTGGAAAAGTGGGTGGAGCTTCCCACAGCCAATCAGATTTCACCCGTTGACTTCAATGGGAAAATTTAGACAACAATAGAAAACAAAAGCAGTTTTTTCCCCCAAGAAAATCAGTTATTTGTGAACTTTGAACATCCTGGTGAGATACTGTCTGCAATTTTTTTTTTTTTTACTTTATTACTACATTTATTTCCCCCAGTGATTCCAAGTCCATTATTCCAACTTTTTTTTAGGTACTTGAGGCAGATGAGCCATCGACAACATCCCCATTGTGTGTCCAGGAGTACAGAGAGGCCTGTCGTCTCTCCTGTTCTCTCATGGAGTAACTTCAAGCTCAGCACAATGGCTCTGCATCTGGGTCATTCGGCCTGGCTGGCACACAGAACAAAGGGCTTTCATTCATGGATGAAACATAACTATGGCTGCAGGGATGGGAGATGGGACATGGCAGAACACTTAAAAGATTATGTGCCTTTTTAACTACTTAAATAAATCACTCTGTGGCCTTGAAAAGACGTTTTTAGACAACTGCATGGCATTAAACAGCTGCTCAGCAGGGACAGATTAGGACCAATAATACCCCGTAACTGTAAATAACAAAAGAACGACTTCTGACCCCATCGGAACAATCCACAACTAACCCTTTTTAGATGCTCTAATCAGTTTTATTTTTTTATGCATGATCTTCTTTTCCCAGATAAACATTTAACAAAGATCCTGTTCCAGGGCATTATACCAAGAATGTCAGATCGACCCAAGAGCATCCTATTATATCTGACATTTACCACAAAATACACACAAAAAAATGCAATGCGGCCCATGTTACAAAAAAACCCACTGGTTAAGTTAAACCTTTTTAGTTACTCATTATGACAGAAATCCCCAGGAAAAAGCTGCCCCTCACTGTCAACAAAAAGATGATGTGCTAAGTTGTGATTCACACAACTAAGAGAGATACACAACTAAGAGATATTTAAATCTGAATATAACAATAAGATCTATAAATCTATTCCTTTAAACACTGCAACTGAATTCTCTAGGGTTGTTAGTAAGGCTAGAGTGTGGTTTTGTAAAGTGTGTCTTATTGCATCATATTAATTTGTGAGGAAAATTATGGACTCCAAGAAAATTAGACATGCACTGATGGATCATATAATAAAAACAAAAAAAAGCAGTTTTTCCCTCTCATTTCTGAAACTCTTGAGGATGCTGTTTCTGACTTTTTCACACAGAATAACCTTCTGAATCCTTATCAGTCTGGCTTCAAAGCTGAGCACTCCACCGAGATTACCCTGCTGATTGTTGTGGATGCCCTGCAATCTGGTAAGAGCTGCATTTAAATTACCTGTTATCATTCGGGTGGACTTAACTGCACACTTCTGCATGGTGAACCACCACGTACTTCTGTCCACCCTCTCGCCCCTTAGCATCACAGGGGCAGCTCTGTTTAATCATCAGGAGCATCCTTCCAAATGTCTTGGGAATAAGAGGTATCTAAGAGTGTCAGGTCACTGATGTGCTTCAAGGTTCAGATCCTGACCCCATTCTCTTTTCACTGAACACCAACTTTCTTGTTCTGGTCATCCAGTGTTTTTCTTATTTTTAGCACTATTGCACTGATAACTTCTAACTTTATCTGACCTTTCCTTCCAGTGGACATCGCATTCTCAGTCACAGTCCCATGTGCCACACTGACATCACATCCTGGATGGGGGATTGACATCACATCCTGGATGGGGGATTGACATCACATCCTGGATGGCACACTGACATCACATCCTGGATGGGGGATTGACATCACATCCTGGATGGGGGATTGACATCACATCCTGGATGGGGGATTGGCATCACATCCTGGATGGGGGATTGACATCACATCCTGGATGGGGGATTGACATCACATCCTGGATGGGGGATTGCCACCTCCAGGTGAACCCCTCAAAGACATCTTGTCCTCCCTGCTGACCCTACCATTCATTACTGTACAGCTTGGATCATCAACGTTGTCAAGGTCTGCTAGGAACACCAGGGTAACGATCGATGGCCAGCAATCCTTTACAGACCGCATTGCAGTCATCCTCTGATCTTGGAAATTTACCCTCTATAACACTGAGAAGATCAGAATGAACAGTTAACTCCTTGCCCAGGCATTTGTGCTCTCATGACTAAATGATTGTACCTCTTTAGTGATAGGGTGGCCAAAATATGCTGTGAAACTGCTGCATATGACTCAAAATGCAACAGCGCATGAGACATTCATTCCCTGTTGACTGCTCCATAGCAATGTTGCATATTTAACAGACACTTTTTATCCAAAGCAATGTACATTTGAAAAAACAGGGTCAGATTATCTCTGGAGAAATCGGGGTTAACTGTCTCTTAAGGGGTTAAGTTTAAAATATCTCCATTCTTTTGGATAATCAATATTTAGGGTGTACATTAGCCCAAACAATACACCAATGCAGTGGGAATGTCAGGAAACTCAATCAATAACTGACGTTCTCAAGAATGAGCATTTTCGACCCCTTGGTGTGCCGTTCTAGCAATTTAATTCCCTTAAAAAATAAAATGGAAAAATCATAGCGGCCAAACTACAGTTGGTATGGCATTCGTCATGCAGGGAGAACAAAAGTGGTTATGCATGTAATGGTGGTAGCACAAGAAACCAGAAGAAGCCAAAGTTGATTTGGATAAGTAACAGTAGACTGTCCACTTTGTTAAAATACTGTGAAACTTTGGATACTGAATATTGCACGACGAAGAAAAAGTGTTCAAGATACTGTATCAAAATGAACTGTTTTAAAGGCACCATGAAGCATGGGGGTATTACACAAATGTCCATCGAACCATGTTTCTGAAGGTCTACGTTCCTGAAGGTCTACCTTCCTGCAGAGTTCAGTTACAACAGAACACAAATAATTTCCCCCTGGGATCAATAACCTGTTATTTTATCTTACATTTGATCCGGATAATCAGTCTGCTTGATTACCTGGATCTGGTGTTGTGGATTTGAAGGGAAACTGAATCCATCATGCAGGCAGATGTCCAGGAATAGGGTGGATGACCACTGCTGTGGGGGTCTATAATGAAGAAAGTCTGTGAAGCTCTAATCCTCCTTTGAAACATGATCTGAATTACATTAAGTAAAGGAATTTTACTTGGAAAAGTTAAGTGAATGATTCTTTGGTAATACTTTACTTGACGGGACACAAATAATGTAGTATTACGCTATTACTTGTGTATTAATGAACCACAAACAAATTCTTTCTTACATACGGAGCTCATGTTCATTCATCATTAACAAATCGTGGCACATCATTTATCTCAAGTAGTTACTATATTTGTTACAATTGTTATTAATTCTGTGAACCTTTGTAAACTACTGAAAGAACGACTAAGGAACTACTGTAGGAACAAGTAATGAATAACAAGCAAAATACAGATCTCGTGTTTGTTCATCATTAATGAATCATGATGCATCTTTTATCTCAAGTAGCTACTATATTTGTTCATGATTTATACTTCAGTAGTAACTGAGTTACTACTAAATATGTGTACCCCCTCAAGTAAAGTGTTACCGATTTTTTCATTTGTTTTCAAAAACAACTGAATGTATCAGTTCACACACACATCTCCACCATATGTGTGCGCTTTCCCTCAGATAATGAATAAGACCTTTCAGTGTGGCTGATCCCTGGTGTTCGGTTATATCTGTAGTCTGCAGTGATGATGTGTCTTCCCGAGTTACCGAGTGTACCAAGTTAAAATGATCTTGCAATGTTAGTGACTGGTAACATCACAATGTTAATTATTGTTTTCTTCCACAGATACAGTAAAATCCCGTTGTAGTGGACTTGCTTGTAACGGAATATCGTCTATAACGGACGAGGTCCGCTGGTCCCGGCCGTGCGCTTTTACAAACATGCAGAAAAAGCATCGGATAGCGAACTCGCAACTTCGCTTATAGCGGACAAACAATTCGGTAGTTTTTTTCAGCTATAACGGACATGCAGGCTCCGCCTACAAGGCGTGTGGCGTGCCGGTGATTTCCAGGGCAGATACGTAGTCGGGATTATTAATAGTCACGCATCTGGTCAGGTGAGGTTGGATTACTACATGTACAATATAATAATCTATACCACAAGTGTGTCTGCTGGGGTGTGGCATGAGTAAATGGTGTCCTGTAGTTGTGTTCTGGGCATACAGCAACTCTGGAGACTTTGGATATAACAGTTTTGCCAGGTCCCTTGAAGTCCATTATAACAGGATTTTTCTGTATCCCATTGGTATTAATCATTAAAAAAATAGGCAGAGATATTATACAAATTTCTAAAAACTACTACTACTGTTACCAGTACCATTAATTAACTAGACATTATTATATTTAGCAAACAATTTTATCCAACATTATGAGCTTTTTTTGAGAATGTAGGATTGGCCAGTCCCAGGAGCAACTGGGGCTTAAGGGCCGTTTTCAACTGGGAAGTGACTTGGCTGACTCTGGAATTTGAGCCAGTGACCTTCTGAGCCCAGGAACAGTGTCCTAACTGCAGAGGCACACCCCCCCTCCCCACCAAAAAAGAGGGGAGTTAGATGAGAACAGCAACCAATGAATGTGCAATCTGAGCATTCACACCAGGGTCTCTCTTGCAGAGCAGGAAGGTCATCTCATCAGGCCTACCCGCTGTGAGTATTATATCCATGCCTTTCTAGAAAATTCTAAGCTCCCTTGTGCTAAAGATCAAGTATGTGAAGGGTCCACTAAAGATCTCACTTCTTGATGCTTAGTATGCCAAGTTTAAAATACCATTTGCATTCAAAAATGATCTTTTTATGTCAAACTTTTCCTTAGAGATGTGAAGCAGTTCTCTGAACATTGCACATACACACAAAAAAAAGCACATTCCACTCATACTTTTGTGGTCATCTCAAAAACTGTGATGAAAAGAAGAAAAACTTAATAAAATACACAGTGTCAACATGACGTCAATTAAGTTGAAACAATTTCATATAATCTCTGAAAATGTATAAAATGTTATTTTTTTTAGCAGTGCAGGAGACACTGGATGCCTTAAATGGAACACCAGTTCCTCACAGGACACATACTCATGTAGAATCACACTATTGACAATTGTTTGTCTTCGGAAAATATGGCCATTGGCTGTGGGTGGAAACTGTGTACCCAGAGGAAACCAAAGCAACATATGGATGCGACACACTAACTCTGCACATGCAGGGTTGGAACGAGAATGCACAGCCCTGGAAGTTGAAGCTGCAATACTCATGCAGTATTTGATCCCTGTTCCTGAAAGATAGGGATATACATTACTTTCTGTCCCATCAGCAGCCAGGTACAGTCACATGACGGCCGCTTCCATCTTTGCTAAAATTCCCCTGACAACAGAATTAAACTTCATATAACAGGCGGGATCCGGGTGCCTGATCTGGTGCCTGTATATCAGTCATGGTCTAAATATATGGGTTTCAGAGCTGCCAACTCATAGTTCCTGCTGATAATTACTTGCTGCTCATTAACAGGCACTGCTAAAGGAGGCCACTTCATCTAGGAAGCTGTCACGAGGGAGTCAATAATATTAATGGCTTCACAATAGAATGGGCTTCACTGTACATACCTGAAGGCGCACTGGTGCAGCTGATGGGCCATTATTAACTTGTCTTTTTAGTATTGAAGTGGATCCAAAGGCCTATTGCTGCCTCAGTGGCCATCAATGGTTCTAATTTTTTCCTTTCACCATCACATTGGGCACACATTCAGGAGACACAATCAAAATATTAGCATCTTTAAGGGCCCTTTTTCCATTTGTATTAGACTGTCTGAAATTGTTAATACATCGCATAGACGGCCTGGCAGGTTGGGTCCTGCGAAAGGCAGTAGAGTCGGGACACTTTTTGAGTTTGAGTTTGTTAGCACAGTGTCCGTGGTACCACAATGAGCTAGTGAAAAATCCACAGGCGTCATCCTTGGGAATGCATGGAAAGGAATGAAAATCCCATTTGCTTTAGCATCAGAAAGCTTACAAGTCATTGACATTTGGTCCATGGCTGAACTTATCAAAGACTCCAGTCCTTTCGTTGGGAATCCTTCGCTGTGAGTGGATGGCAGTGGTGCATAGGTTTAAGTCGTATAAATGGGATGAATGACTTTAAGGGATAAAATTGTTGATTAAGGCTTTGGAGGACAGATGATAGTCTTACAGGTGAACCGGTCTTACATATATTTTTTTTCCCCAGTTATATTTCATGACTTTCTTTCTGTCAGTCATATTCCCATCTGATAGAGTGTTAGGATCAACTCAATCATCTCCTGACCCCAGAGACGTGCCCCAGGAAGCATAATGAGGTGTCACTCTCCCCTCACCAAAAGCCACCCTGTAATATTGTTCCCGGTTGTATCACACATATTGAACTAGGCCAAGTCAATCTCTGTACAATCTCGAGTTGCTATAACACGTTGGAAATCTGATGTAATAGAAGTAGAGGTTTGGAGGTAGATCAGTCATGACATTTCACCTGCAGAAATATCCTGTTTTAATTGCAAAGCCACAGTAAAATGACTTCATTTATAGTATATATGAAACTGCCAGCTGCGATTTAATCTTGAAAAATAAATTTAATTTATTTTTTCCCCTTACTTTGTTTTTCCATATAGATGCCCTTATGTTGCATTGTGACC